GCTTATTGCCAGTAGTTAAATCAGCCACTTGCACACCTATTCGACTACCAGCAGGTATACATTCACCATCTCCCTTTTGTCCAGCATTAGGCACCACTAAATCACCATTTGCCTTTTCATTAACTATAACACATTGCTGTCCTCCATTAGGTTGCAAAATCACCTGTTGCACACTAGTAGAAGCAGGAAAATCCATCAACCTCCTATCCTAAACAGTCTGTTGTTTCTGTACCTGGTCCACGAATACACCCTCAACCTTATTCCCAGCTTGATCTTGCACTTGTTGGACCTGTATGTCATCAATCATCGTGTTCACAACCACCCCTCTACTACCATCATTCACAGTGGCCTTCAAAGTATGTTGCTGCCTAGAATTTGTATTTTTTCCAGGTCCTTCAATCGGCTGTTGGTTAGCTCTTTTTTTATTCAGATAATCCCTTGCATCACCCTGTAGTTTCTCCATTACTCCTGTTGCATCAGCTTCGTCCTCCACATGTTCATCATGTACTACTCGTTTTTTTCCTAAAAGGATGCGACAATTAGATTCGTCATGTCCTTGATACTTGCAGTGATTACAATATAGAGGTAAATTATCATAAGTAACTTGTTGAAGCTGTTCAACGATCTTTCCAGTTCCTTCATCAACATATTTAAGCCTTATTTGTTCTGGATGTTTGTCCAAAATGTCAAGGATCACCTTGACCCTAGCTGTACTTGGCCTAGACCTAAGTTGAGTAGCCTTATCAATAGCAATAGGCTTTCCAACAGTTGCTGCAATGGACATTAAAGCACGCCTGGCAAATAATTCAGGGGGTAAACTTGGAAACGAAATCCATACCGCTGCCATATGTGTTTCTTCTTTTGGGTTGTATCCAATCGTCCATGGGAATACTCTAACCTGATGTTCTTTTTCTTTGCTCGTAAAATAAGTAACTGACCTGGTGAGACAAATTACGAAGTTGTCGTAATGATCCAGTCGTATGAGTAATTGTCTTTGCGCAAGAAGACCAATCAAACATTGGCCTTTGACGCCAAACAGTTTTGGCAAAATTGTACGCAAGTCTTGCAAATCTGGAGCATTAGGAGAAACCTTCACGACAATGGCTTGATGCAAACCTTCCTCCCTTGCAAAATCTTCTCGTTCCTCCATTGTAAACAGTAGTGTTGGGATTCCATGAACTACTTCGCTTGGCTTCAAAGTTGTTTTTGTAACTTGTCCTGCTGTTTGGTTATTGATCAAACTAGCTGCATATGAATTTGGAGGGATGATTTTAGATTGCTCTCCCAAAGCCAAAGGCTGGGGAGAAGACGATATATTCATGAAGTTCTTCAAAACTCCATTGAAAGAAGAAGAAACTAACGAAAAGTTATGCTTGCTACAGTAACCGGGTAAGAAATTTTAAGATCTGTTTCGATTGGCTATAGATCTAAGCACAAAACCAATTGGGGATTGTGCGCATAGAGAAAATGCTTCTATTAACACCAAAATTGCGAGAATCCACCGCCAGATGCCGGATTTATGGCTCGTGAATAGTAACGGATTTACTATTCACCCTTCTCTTTTGGGTGTGTCCCAATTTATGTTGATGGAGATACTTGGATTTTATATTTGCCCATTTTCCTTCTTGATTTCATTTCTGTGTGAGAGGGGACTAAAGATGTCTGTGGTGCTATGTAATTGAGCTAATACCCTAAAACCCTCTTAGACTACCGTTTTAATCAGTTTCCTACTTTAATTATTTGGTGTCCCCAAAACGCCCTTGAACCATATTGGCCTTCATATTTAAACTCCCTTGTTGCTTACCTGGCATAACGTGTGTGCACACTTGCTTGGGAGCGCGTGACATCTGAAAAAAGCCATCAAAATGGCCCACTTGACAAAATGTAATGGTTAATTAGCCTAACCCTCTTTCCTTTTTTTTTTTTTAAATTTTAAATATTCTCCTTATTTCCTTTATATCCACCTTTCTTCTTCATTTTTCACCATTCTTCCTTATTTTTCCACCTTCATTTTTTTTCTTCAGTTCTCCATATGAGTTCCCTCTGGAAAGAAATTTTCCTCTCTTGTTTTCTTTGAAATAATTTATTTTTTTCTTTTTTTAGTTTTGAAAGAACACCCATTTAAATCTTCTTATTAAACCAACACTTTGTTGTGGAGAATAAAGTTGAATCTCTTAAACCTTGTTTGAGTAATTTAGAATTAGAGAATGTAGTTGTTGGCCGGTTAGTTTCTTGTTTGCGAAATTTTATTTTGTGTAATCTTGTTTATGTAATATAAGATGATTTTTCATAAATGCAACACTATATGCCTTTTTTTCTAAAAAAAAAATAGTGCTGCAACATGAATGTGAATAAGGAATTATTCAATTGGAGTCTAGTATTTAGCACAACCACAATTAAATAAAAAATTAACTCATTACATTAGATACTACTTTGGTCAAAACTCGTAGAATTAATCAGTCATCCGACAGTAATACATCATGAGTGAACTACATAAAAAATTTAGTTCAAACTATAAGTTAATATAGTTAGACAGACGCACCTCTAAGAATTTAATATGGGGTTTTAATATATAGGGGAATATAGTTTAGGGGAATTTGGGGGCACTAGATAGTTTAAGTAGGTAATTGACAAAAAACTTGTAGTGCCACATGACACGTTTTTTAGATAATTAGGAGTGTGTACTAGGCACACATTTAAGAATGTAACGAGGGGTTTTTAGTATGAATGTCAATATAGTTAAGAGGATTTAGAGAAACCGAACAGTTTAAGTAGGTAACTAATAAAAACTTTATAGTTTAGGGAGATTTTAGGATATTAACTCTTTGTAATTCTATTTCATGAGATTTTGTCCTTTCTCCCACATAGTATGACGCAATAGAGCTCAAGGAAATACTAAATGTAGACAGCCGAATAGATCGTGCTTGACTTTCTGCATTCCCGGTTGCTATTACTATTTTCCATTAGAATGTGCTAGTTTTCGCTCTGGGCAATTCTTAACACCATTTGATTTGCTCTTGCACTGTGGCAACTTACTTACAAAAAACAGAAATTGCCAATTGTAGTCTTGCTTGGAAGCTAAGATGGAAGGGTCCTGTTTCCCTTCTACCAGCATTGCGCAGGTAAGGCGTTTCTATTCTTTTTTGTGGTCTGCTCACCCTCTATTAGATAACAATGACATTCTGTAGGTGGAATGGAACTTCATCTGAAGTTTATTGCTATTATTATGTATGAGACAAATGTAGACATGTTTGATCCCCCCATTTAGTGATTCGTTTATCTAACTACAAAGACACCATGACAACGATTATAGGGTATGATAGAATTGTCTGTCCTAAACGACGCGATTTTACAATTGCAGATATGCTGCCTTTTGTTGTGATGGCTATTAATTGTCCATGTGGCTGTCTTACCAGCAAATGCTTCGGCATTAGTTTAGTTAGAAAGAGATCTGAAAATAGTGGCGAAGCCACATGGTCATAATTCGTGGAGAAATTGCACTATTTATATAAATAAAATATTATGTTTTAGATATATATAGGAGTAATACATATTGAACACTCTTTGTCAAAATTTTTTTTCACTTCTTTTAAATTTAAACATCTCCTAGCTTCGCCATGCCTGAAAAAAAAGAAAATGACACGACAATATTTAGTGCTAATCGTTCTTTTCCTAGGGTATGATGCATAAAGTTAGACTTAAGTAATAGAATGGCGCGGAGTTATAGAACCGACAAAGATATGGAAAAAATGCAGATGAAAGCACTAACAATATATAAATCTACATAATCGTACAGCGACGTGGATGTACTTTTATTATAACCCATGAGCACTTTAGTGCCTGTTTATTGTTAAAATTTTAGGGTGCATCTTTCTAAGATCTGTTTGTTGCCCACTGAAACAATCAGGTTCAAGTTTAACCATTTGACGAGTGACAGTTGGTTAAGTCTTCATTGGCCATAAAAGGAATGACATCTCAAAAGGCCGTGTTTCTTAAGTTTATTCTTGTTTTACATTATCTCGTGCTCTGCCTATGATTACATATGTAGAGGAAAAACACAAGTGGGGCAGATATCTTTAGATCCTTCATCTTATACACAGTTCCGCTCCATACTAGACATGGAATTTAAAATATTACTATACAAAGATAAACTCACACATACACACGCATCTCTAAATAAAATAGCAAAATGGTTAAAAAAAAATAGTTAACCACCCATATTATCTATTACAAAATGGGTTGGATAATGAGCTTTTTTAAAAATGGTCAAATATGGATAAGAACCATATTATCCATTTAGAAAATGGATAACTAATGAGTAACCAATGGATAATGAATGAGTCTAACTTTTACATTTGTAAAGCCTCAAATTGGGGGTTCCTCAAATTAGGGAGACTAAGAATCTTCCCAAAAGTGATCATATGCAAGAAGTCATGAACATATTATCCGTCGGTTAACCCGTTTTTTATCCGTATTAAATATGAGTCGAATCGGATAATTTATCTGTTTTTTTCATTACACATTTTCAACCCGAACCATATCCAACCCGACCCGCCTGTTTGTCACTACTCCTCCGTACATACGCGCACACGAAAAAGGACTAGACAATCACAATATTCCTAATTCAGAACAAGTATAAGTCCGAGGTTCAATATTAAAATTATCTAATAGGTTTTTACTGGTAATCACTAAGTGCGATGATGCTCAATTGATTCCAACGGGTCAGTCAACATCTAGAAAAATTGGGAACTAAAGGCAAAAAAAAAAATCATGCTTTCTGTACCATATATATGAGATGGGACCTTTTAAGCAATAGGCGATCACTATGGTTGTAGTCTTCTTGACATGTCAAGTTGGTTAAAGAGCTAAGTGGTTACCTCTCAACTAACATCACCTTAATTATAGTAGGACATACTTATCTTTCCTCCCAAGACACAATGAATCAAATCTTGATCATGAATAACACATAAGCAAACAACGAAGATCCCATTTGAACTAAAGGTACTAAAAGATGGCTTGTCTTTGTCATTTGATTAATTTAGGTCCCTATCGAAGAACCAGAAAACAGCGACCTTTCAACTATATTCACTTATCCATCTAGCAATATTCATGTTCTTGGTATTATATTTAAGTCTTCAATTAATGTCATTCACTTTCCTCAATGAAAGCAAGAAGGAGCAATTAGAGAAGATGAAGAAGATGAATCTGTTACTGAGGAAGTGTAAGACATTGTCAAGGCAGCTTGGAAGAAGCTCATCTTATAGTAGTTTAAGGTCCAAATCTACAAGAGAAGATTTGATCTGGAATGTGGAATCTGAGGATAATAAAGAAGATTTTGAGACAATTCTTGTTGGGAGCTCAAGAAGGAGATATGTGATAAAATCCAAGTACTTGAGTCATCCACTGTTGAATGCTCTAATAGAGAAATCAAAGCAGAAGCATGCATATGCATGGGAAGGCCATCTTTCAGTTAAGTGTGAGGTTGTGCTCTTTGACCATCTTCTTTGGTTGCTTGAAAATGCTGATCCCACCAACTTTACTTCTGATTCTTTCGAGGAATTGGCTGATCTATATGTTGTTTGAATATTTTCAATCCTGGTATCTGATTTCCACTTCTCCCCCTTAATTCCCTAGTCAAACTAGTAGTAATAAATTTTAAGGAGTGACTGTCTCTACAAAAGAATGAGAAGAATCTCAGTCCTATTATGTGTACGTTCTTGGTTATAGCTTACATCATTCTTTATTCAAATTGTTGATATCCAATGTAAGAATTATAAACTGATAAAGTTTGTCGTTGTTGGTACATTGTGAATGTGATGTTGATTAAAGGAATGGACGCCAAAAGCAAAATTTGATGCATCCTAAGCAATAATTGTTTGAAAGAATTCTTAATGGGGAAGTTTGTCATCAATAAACAAACTCACAACACAGGAGTAATTTACTTAATCATTTTCAGACAGGACAAAATTATTTTATTTGTGAAGAAAAAGGATAATTACACCTTTATTCCTAGTTTTTTCACTAATATATTACTCTAACTTTCCCTTTGATAAAAACTAAGGGTCTACCAAACTATATAGAGAACCGGGTTCTCTATTAGTTCCCATATAATACACGCACACTGCAGTAAGTAAATGACACAATGGAGTTTTACGTGATAAACTCCCAGTTCACGGGATTAAAAACCACGACCTACCCTTGTAGGATTTCAACTTCACTACTGAGCAAACTTTAGATTACACCTTATTGTAACCTTGGAATTAACCTCTTAATCCCTCACTAACTTGTAGCAACTCTATTACAAGCCACTTTGTAATAACTCTATTACAAAGACTTACAACTCGATTAACTCTAGCCAAGACACAAATATAAGAGTTTATGATTTACAATGATTTCCTACACAATGCTTTTAACTAAGCTAAGTAGGAATTACAAGTAGAGTGCTCTAATAAAGGTACAACACAACTAAGGACATGTAATAATTTGATACAGGGAACCGGTCCATTGTTATGTTGTTCTTTGTTCTTGATGACTTTGAGAGTCACTTGCCAGATTAATAGATCACTTGAGAGAACTTGATTGATTCTTGAATAAGCAAGTGTTTTGTTTTACCTTTGCTTGATGCTAATAATTCATTTGTAATATCACTTGAATGATGCAAACAAGTTAGGTAAAGGGCATTCCCCATAAAGTTGGCTGCTGCACTGTTTTTGCATTGTTGTGTATGCAGGCAACAACTTTACATCTAGGGGGTTGACTTGTACAATCACCATGGGAACTGGTAGCTATCTGTTCCCTCTGTTGTTCCTTTGACTCTGAAGAGTTGAACTACATCCCTGACTATAGACTTGTTGATCTTAAATACTTAAGGATATGTACTAGGTTCCTTATCTGGTTCTTACCAATAAGTTTATTATATCATCAAAACATAACGTGATAAATATATAGCCTATCAATTTTCCCATTTTTGATGATGACAAACTTATAAATTAAGTTCCCCCTAAGAACCAGAATGACATTCGTGTTCCTGTATTCCCCTTGAATCTGTTCCCCCTCAATTATTTTTTCCTCTTTTGACATCATAAAAAGATCAGTAGCAGGCTTCAAGTAAAAAGAAGCCTAGCTTAATTAACTCATGCCACATGTGTGTAGACAAACATGACTAAAAATAGAACATAAAAGCAAGACATACATAGCAAAAGGAGGAAGCTTTCGTTAAAATTTGGATATTAAGTAGGGAGCAGTTCCATTGTTATCAACACATCCACAAGATAAAAAGCAGCAAAAATAAAAGTACCAGTCATAAACATCATCAGAACTAAAATAGAGGACAAACACTAAGAGTCTTGACACTTGGAAAGAGGATACTGTTTAGGGAGCACTAGAAGGGGAAGGCCCAGATAAAGAGGCAAGGGTTCTAAGAAGGATGTCCATTCAAGCATTAGCTGACACCTGCTCGTTGAGCAGTCTCTCCTTCAGGTCTTCAACCTATTTCCTGAGGTTTGCATTTTCTTTTATCAGACGGGCAACCTCTATGCTTTGAGAGCTGTTGGAACTAGGTGCCTCCTGAACTTGACTTAACTGACCTTCGAGAATGACATTCTTTGCCTTTAGCTTTCTTATTTCTTCAGTGACACTGTTCTGAGCGTTGATCAGCTGAGAGATAGTAAAAGTGCTGCCAACCCCTCCACTTTTATCAATGCATTCACATTCCTCAAGGGTGGTCTTGAAGAAGGTTTGCTTATGAGTACCCACTTTAGCCCTTAAAGCAGCCCATGATTACCATCCTTGAATTCTGCCACCTTCTGCATGTGCTTTATCATGATGCCAGGCAGGTTTATAGTGGTGTAACCATCTAGTGCTTCCATGAGAACCAGGTCCGCTTATGAAGTTATTGACCTCCTTTCTGCGCGTGGAAGCAAAACTATGTTTACCAATTCAAACAGTAGTTGGTACACTGGAAGGAGGGTATTCTTATGTACCCGTTCCCCATGCTGTATGGCCTTGTCCTTCACGATGACATTTCTGAAGTTAGAAGAGCAAGTTCCCTCAATAGAAAACATACCATCAGTAGGCACCCCAAAAATAGTTCCCAGAACAGCAGTATCCATCACGAAATTAACATCATTCACCATCATACAAATATGATCATCCTCAACTGTAAAGAAGTCGGCATAAAAACTGCGGACCTCTTCCTCATAAACTTTAGGACTGTCACTTGTGAACAGATGTGTCCACTATTGGAATTTACAGATCTCCACCAATTGGCGCATTTCGGTCATATCTAGAATATTAGGGGTAAATGTATGGCCCCACAACACCTTTTGGTTTTTCAATTTTTCTTTGCTAGCATCATGGGTATCACCAAACTTGGTTTTTTTTGGAGGAACCAGGTTCCTCACTTGCATCAGCCTTCCTTTTCACTGACTTTGTAGCATTCTTTCCTTTGTCTGCAAATTTCTTGGAGATTTTCTTAGCAGAATCATCAGCCACATTTTCACAGGATTGCTCAACCACTTTCTCACCAGATTTTTCACCCTCAACCCTTCTCAACTCTTTTACACTCACAAATGACTCCCTTTTGGACCTTGGAATAGTAAGGTTCTTTGAGGACTTACGAACCAGGGAATCAGGTTCCTCTTCTACCTCATCATCAACATTCACGACTAGTGCGTGAGGCACTACCTTCTCATGGACAACCTTTCCATCTTTCACCAATATCCTCTTCTTCTTTTGCTTTTTGTTTTTCCTTAAAACTTACTCAAGTTCTTCCTTCTTTTGCAACCTCATGGTAGCTCTCTTAGATGTTGACCCCCGGGGAGGTGCCTTTATACTTCTAGCCCTAATAAAGCTCTCCAGAGCCACATTATCATAATCTTCTTCTTCACTATCCTCCTTCTCCTCCTCAGACAAAGATCGCATCTTAGGAACCACAATTGTTAATAGCTCAACATAGAAATGAGGAGAGGGGGCGGGATCAGTACTGACCTGGGATTCTTATCCCAATTAGAACCAGAGGGCTCCTTTTGGGTTGAGGGATCAGGTCCCTCAATTGGTTCCCCAGTAGTATTGTCAGGTGCCAAAGTTTCGACAGGCACTAGTTCCCTACCCTTTACCTCTGCACCATTTTCTTTCCCTGAGACTCAAACACACCTTCACCACCCCCAATGACACTTCCCTCAGCAGCTATTGACAACATATTCTCTATGGCCTCTTTTCTTTGTAACCCCATGATAAACTCAAAAGTAGGAAGAGTATTACCTGTAGAATCAAGCTGGGCTGTCATTGTCGATTCAGCATGGATATGATCCACATCTTGTTCTTTGGTAGAGTTTTCTTCCATCGGTAGACTAGAAATTTTTGGATTTTCTTCTTTCGCTATTTGTAAGCACGTGATTTTTTCCCAATATGAGAATTACTCCCAAAAAATTCAAAAATAAAATGGTTTTTCTTTGGTGTGCAATTTTGTGATATTTTGAATAATTATTTGTATTTGTCTGTGCATGTTTATTTGNTTAAGTTCAAGCTTAAGTTCATAATTGTTTATTCGTCGATCTTGTTATTTGTCTAAAAAGAATTTAGTTGTGTTAAAGGAAATATATTGATTTAATCGTTTTAATCCGTCATGTTTGTTGTGTTAAAATAGATTCATTCATGTTCATACTTTGTTTGGATGATCTTGAATCCGAATTTTGTATAGTTTGATTTCTTGTTTATCATTTATGATTATTTCTTGAATTTGTCTCATAATCTTGTTTAAGTTTAATATAGGAATTGTTTGTTGTAATGTTGTTAGAGTAGTTGATTTTAAGTTCAATATTATTGAATTTAGAAATCTAAATATACTTGTTTGTTGTTGTTGTTGAATCCGAAAATAGGATTGTTTGTTGCTAAAATATTGTTCAATCAAATTTTAGTTATTCTTTGTTGTTCAATTCATGTTCATGTGACCGCCCAAAGAAATTAAAGTTTCTTAGTTTTGAATATAAATTAGATTCCAAAAGTTCATTTCTGTCATCGCTCCGGCAAACTTGCTCCTCTCCGGCGAATAAAGTAACCTCTATCTCTGTTTTGTTACTAAGTTTTTCTGATAGAATACACATTATATGTGAGCATTGGCTACTTGTGCTTTGTTGTTTTTGCTATTTAATTTTCACTCGTGCTATTTAAACAGATCATCTGTTTAGCTAATTAATAGTACTACTACTAATCAACAAAAGCCCAACCTCATTTGAGTTTTTTAGTTGCTGCATTGTTACGAAATTTTCAAATCTGCAATTTTCCTACGCACTGTTTTGTGTCAATTTAAATACATAAAACTTTACTTCCTTGATTTGGGTATTTGGTTTTGAAGCCTGCTGTTTTTGAATCTTTATTGCACAAGTAGCAACAGATCTGTTTAGCACCGACAGATCTTGATATAGCACATATCTCCCATTTCGAATTTCTTCAGAGCAATTCAAGGATTATCTGGTTTAGCACCGACAGATCTTCAATTCCCACTTTCCTATTTCCATTTCTTGATATATTACAGATTCTAGATTTTCTCTGTGTTCTTCTTTTGTTACTTCTTCTTCATCACTGAATATAAATAAAATAAATTGGAGGCAATAGGAAAATAAATCTGGAAAGGACGAAAAACTGGACCAACTTTCTCTCTCTTCACTGTGTTCGCTCCTTTTTCTTTTTCTTCACTGTATCTTGTTCCTGTTGAAAAGGGGTTAACGATTTTAGAATCTGTTGTGTCTTTGTTCAGATCAAAGTTATTATCTTTTTTTCTTACTTGATTTTACTTTGATTTATCTAGCTGATTTTTCCCAATTTAGTGGTGC